CGCAGGAGCCTCGGCTGCGCTGTCACTCCTCTGCCTGTGGCCTTCCTTCTCTGGGAGGGCCGGTGCCAGCAGATTGCTCCTACATAGGGTGTTTATCTGGAAGGAGCGGTGTTAGATTATGAGTGAAGCTTCCCAGGCAATTTCATGCTTCTGCTGGAACTGTTTTGCAAGTGTTTGTGTTGGAAGGAAATGGTTCTTCTGAGGAAATGAATTCTGCACACAGGGAGGGAGCGGGCATTTGCTTTCCTCCTTGGCTAAGGAACTTGGAGAGGGACTGTCGCTCACAGGTGCGATGGTCACTTAACCAGCAGCACAGCTCAGGCTCGCTCTCCTCTAACAACCAACGGAGGAGCGAGAGCTTCCAAAGGTAACCTGCCAGCTCCAGATTGTTATCCTGCTCCAAAAATAAACTGTTCAGAGTGTGACATGATGGCTTGCTTGCAAAATGTGTTAGTAGCTCTCCTGGGGTTTGCATTCATCATCTTGGAGCAGAGACCGGCCCAGTCTCCCTTGCTCTGCAGACACATGTTCGGTGTCAGCGGCACCCTTTGGAGCTGACCAAACTGGGGATCTCTTGGCTGTCATATCCTGATATAGCAGCTCTTGTGCCGCTCTGCATGTGGATCCGTTCGCTCCTGCAAAGCTACAGTTGTTCAAAGACTTTCTCCCAGGGAGATCAGAGCTCTGTAAAAACTCTGTCCTGGTAAAGATAAGCTCACACGCTAAATTCAGCTGGGAATTGTCTCGTAGGCAAAGGTAGAGTGCGCCTGCTGGAACACAGCGTTCCCGTTAGCTGCACCTCTGGACTAAATGCTTGCGTTTCTGTTTTTAATTTGTAAAAAGGAGTCGCATCCTGCTGTCTCCTGGTGAGTTGAGGGGTGGCCCCTGGGAGCAGTGCTCCTGGATTTTAAAGATTTACCATATGTTTTCTTTTCCTTTCTCAGTCTCACCCAGTGGTTTGACACAGCACCGAGCCGGACTTGCCCGCAGTGCCGAATCCAGGTAAAACCATCACCTCTGTACACTTCTGCATTTCTATGGCACAATGCTCTGCTAAAGGGCACTGAGGAGCTGTGGTCTGGGCCTGCACAGACACAAGAAAAAGGTTCATGATATGAAGTGGAGAGAACTTTCTCTCCCCAAAAATATCTCGCTGAAGGCTTAGAGGGTGAACTCCCCTCAGCCACCCTTCTGAGCAGAAGAGGTGGTCCAAGGGTGCCCTGCTGCTGTCCGGATTGTAGCTTCTTTAGGTAGGGTGTCTGGGTCTTCACGGCTTTTATTTAGGCCGAGTAATTATTGGCATGATGATAGAAAGGGCTGGAAGAGGTTAATCAGAACATCAGAGTTGCATTTCTAGAGTACCTTGCTGCTTGCCATCAGGTGAGCAGCCCATTCTGTTGCACGTGGTCCTTATAATTGAGTCCTTGCTTTGTAGCACTTGGCCCTTCATTGAGAAAACCAAGGCCGGGGTGGGAAGGAAGGATGTGCTCTGCTTCTGAGATGGGAAGCCAAGGCTTGGGCATCCAGTGACTTCATCAGGACCTGAACTTCTTTGAAGTCCCTTGTATCACCAGCCTTGATGCCTCCAGCATGGCGCGTAGTGGCTGCAGGAGGTGTTGCCTCATGTTCAGATGTAGGCTTTTAGCCAGCTGCAGCTTGGGCTTGTTCTATGTTCGTGCTTTTTTCTTCCTCTCAAGGTCTTGGCCCTTGTTCCTTCCCTGACTTGTTGATTCCCTCTGTTCTTCACTGCCTCTTACATCTCTGGGTTACCATGGAGTTATCGCGAAATAACATCTTATGTAGCAGTAACTATGCAATTAGCTGGTGTCATGACTGTATATAATACTTAAAACACAAAGCTGTAACTGCATGGGGGAGGTGTGGAGAGCTATCAAATTCAATTACAGCACCTTCTGCCTGCAGAAAGCAGCACGTACTTCTGTCTTAGGATTTGGCATCATGTTAGCTCAGCGTCAGCTGCTTGGGCCTTAGCTGCCAGAGAACAGACTGCGCTTGATTCAGAAATGCTTGAATCTTTCTGCCGTGGCTCAGGAGCTTGGCTGGAGTCACGCTCTCAAAACTGAGTGGGGGGTCTGCTGCTGGGCTGATGAGCCAAAGCAGAGCATCGTCACTAATGGCGTCGAGAATGTGATCTGACTCGCCTTTCACAGCCTTATGACAAGATGGTACCTTCTCACTCTCTGATTGTCTTCCATATCCGTTGTGTTTCCATAGCCATGCTCATCAACCTCTTCTGTCTCCTGTGTTTAGGTCAGCAAAAGACACATCATCAATAAGCTGTTTTTTGATGTTGCCCTGGAGGAGCAGACAGCACCAGATGCAGAGACTTTGCAGGTAATTTGACTGGGTTCTTCCATTGTGTGATGCTTCAGCATCTTGGAAGCGTGGCCTGGGCTGACGGTCCTCTGCCAACAGCTGTGTCCTGAGCCAGTGCTTGCTGTGCTGTGCTCATGTTTCAGACCTGAAGCACACCAGTGCCTCCTCCCTGTCTCTTTTTTCCCTCTTGGTCCTTGCCCAGTCTCAGCTTTGTTGTAAAGAGGTCTCCATGTGGTAGGTTAGAGTTCCCTCTGACCAAATCTCGTGTGGCGACTCAAGAAGCCGCCTCTCTACTTCACTGCTCTTCCTTCTGCTTCTCACCTTGCTTGGGCACCTCCTGAAGCAACACCAAATAAACATCCAACTGCTGCTTCTCTCTTGGGTCTCAAACCTTAGGGATGAAGCTACAAAGCTTTTCCAAGAGGCAGGAGAAGGAAAATCCCAAATGCAATGAATTGTAGCTGGTGTCTGTGGCTCGGTTGTGCACGAGCCCTGCTAACACCTCTGGAAAGGAGGGGCTGTTGGAGGAAGTGCCACCTCCTCATTTCTGTGCGGGTAGGTTCGTTTGCACAAACTGTAAGGAACTGAGGCAAGGCGGTGATAAAGTCTTGGTTCCCCAAGCGAAATGGGGAAAGGGACTGCCTGAAGCTGCATCAGCAGTGGTGGACAGCGCTAAGGCTGGGTCCCTGGGGGCGGATCCTGGCTGGAGTTGGGGTGCTGGGTGATGTTCGCTAAGTGGCACCCTTAGGTGTGGAGAGCTGGAGGTGAGAAAGGATGAATGCTGAGTGGCTGTTCCGTGTTCTCTTCCTTTGTTTAGTGTGGATGAAGCATGGCTCCTTATGTCTCAGAGTTATGTGTTCCAAAAAAAAGTAATTGGTTGACCTTGGTATAATGGGATGCTTGTACCCTCTTGTGTTTAGAATCAGCATGTGCAGCAATTACCATAATTAGCAGTTGCCATGACAATGCTATATGTATATCGTATGGCTTTAAAATAAAGCCAGCCAGACTATAATGTCAGTAGGACTGTCATTCTCGACGACTGCTAATAAAGAAACTGAAGGCCAAAGTATGTGTGCTGAGGAAATGAAAAAGCATCTCTGGGCACTTGAAGCTGTGTGCCCTAGAAGCAAAGCAATGGCTCAGAGCGAATAAACATTATCTTTACTACATATTCAGGTCTGTTCTTGCAAGTGTAAATAGATGAGTGACTCATAAATGGGTTGACTGGAGAAAATTGCCCTAGAAAAGCTTTCTGTTCCCTCTCACCCCTACCCCAGGAACAAAGATGGGTTTCCCCAGCCTTCCCCTCCAGGCAGGCTGTGCTGAAGAACTGCTCCCTTGCTCAAGGGCAGGACTCTGGAGCCGCTCCTGCACAACAAGCTTGGTGGTAACTCATCGTGTTCCTACAAAGTTTGTTGTGTGGCCGTCAGAGCAACATCCAGCCCTGAGTGTGCAGCTTTCCTAGTGAGAGCACTGAGGTCGCTACCTAATGGGAAAGAACCAAATATTTTCTGTGTAGATCAGCGTAGTCAGTTTGTATGAGTATTTACTGCCCCGTGCGCTAATTTGGGTTGCTGCTGGGCTGACGCTGGTTTGTCACCTGTTGTATTTTGTGTGCTGCCTTGTTTCTGGAGGACATGGAGCACCTTAAGAACACGGGTGACCATCACGGGTGGGATTTAATGTCCATCTAGACTGGAGTTCTGTCTCACGCAGTATCTGCTTTTGGCCTGGGCAGGAGTTCAGCAAAGCAGACACATGGTGGACTGTCCTCAAACTCTTTAGAAGCTGAGATAATAATTGGTGACTTCCTCAGCCTGAAGTGATTTCACCTGAAAAAGCCCCCAAATACAGTGTTTGTTCCTATCCACTGCTTGTCCCTCCAAGAGCCTGGGCGTAAAGTGGTACTTGGCTCTGTAATCAACTGGAGCTGTATCTGTGCAGCCTGCAGATGTCCTGAAATGAGCATTTGGCCTCCTGCCATGAAAAGGTTGGACTGGGGCAAGGGAGTGTGCTTCAATGTGCTGGAAAGCTGAGCGCATAGCTGTGATGCGCTTGTTGTCTTGGGGAGACAAGCTTGGGGTGCTCTCCTGAGAACTGGTCTTATGCACTCAGCTATAAGTGATCAGAAGAGCTCCCTCATAATCTGAAACATCTTTGTGTTACTGCAGAATTATCCAAAGTATCTTTTGGATAATAATTGTCTTTGGTCCTATTCTTCAATCTCAGTTCTGCTCTGAATTTTTTACAGACAAAGGAGTGCTGGAGTTGCTTTGCTTCCCACCACCAGGCATCAGTTTCAACCGAAACGCCGGAGGGAACTTGGTTCCCTGGAGTAGCTGCAAACCACAGGCTGAACACTGTCCAAGCATTTCTGGGTGCTGAGCCTTGGTTTATCCTGTGTTGCTCTTAAAGATGGTCCTCAGTGATCAGAACAGTCTCCACGTGACTGTTCCCAGAGTAGGGAAGGTGTGAGTTTTGGGGTGTAACACCATGGTGAGGCTCATCTGGAAACTGGCACTTCCAGTCGCTTGTGATCTGGGGACCTGAGAGCCCTTCTTCCAAAGAAGACTAGGAGATTTCGGCTCATTTGGCTTAGTGAAAAGGAGGCAGGAGGAGGACTCCTGCCTGTAAACCTGCTGGGGAGGGTAGAAACCTGGGAGGACAGCTGTCTGCGTGTGGTCAGGATAAACTTATTTGATCTTGCAAAGGAAAATGTGGTCTTGCAACTCAGGCTGGCAGAGAGAGAAGAGCTGCTATGACAGGAGTGAAAACTGGGAGCAGCCTTTAGGAGCGGTGGTGGAGGATGAGGGATTTCAGATTAAGTTGATGAATGAGGTAATGTTACATAGCTGCCCGCAGTAGCCTGGGATTTCTTTGCTATCGTGCTAATTAGCACATCTTGTGAGCTCACTAATCGTTCCTGAATAGGACTCTGAGGAAGCTACTTCAGGATAGTTCCTGCAGCAGAGTTAATTCCATGTCAGCCCTCCAGCTGTTGTCCCACCAGGGGCAAATCCAAGGCAGCTCTGCCAGGCTTTGCATTTAGTCCCTTCTGCTTACCGAGCTTTACATCCCATATTCTTTTTCCTGCCTTTATTATCACTAGCAGAGCTTTGCTCTGGTCCTGTCAGATCCGTGGTCACTGGTGGTGCTATTCTCAGCTCAGATTTGCATGTAGCGTTCTGGGTTGCACAGATTTGTGTGCTCTGCTTCAGTACTGTGTTGGCATTTTATTGTGGTTTTATTCCACTGCAGTTCCTGCCTGACTTGTTATGTGCTTTCCTCTGCAGTTCTCTAACACAGCTTTTTAAGTCATCTTCTGTTGACTCTTTCCTGTATATATTTCTCTCTCCTGCTGTTTTTTTTTTTTTAAAAAAATATATATATAAAATATAAATAGCTTCTCTTTGTAACCTCTTTACATTTCCTTTGGCTATTTGCCAGTGTTCTTAAGTCATATCATTATCTAGAATTTAAACTATGGGACATTTGCTCCCTCTTTCTGATTCTTAATGAAAGCGTTAGAAATATTTGACCTTCCCCAGACCTTTGTGACACCCGGGAGACGTTACACACCCTTGGTTTGATATGGATTGGTTTGTCGGCGTTTTGTTTATGGCCATTTGACTGAGCTGTTAGCTCATATCAGCGTCCCGAACTGCAGTGACTTTAGTGTCTGTCAGAACGCAAGCTGGTGCCTTTTGATCGTATGCTTGGTTACTTTTTCAGGCGTTTGGACGTGCCCTCCTGTCTCCCACCTGCACCTGATTAAAGTTCACTTCAGTTCAAAGCAGCTCTCAATCCAGTTAGTCTGGCAACATCCCTGCCTTATTGCCTTGTTTAGGTAAAACGTTATAAAAATTGTTCCTGTCTGATTTCCTGTGTTTCCCTGAGAGCTTTCCAAAATTATTCAGCTAAAACAAGATGACTGACAGTGTGAGAAACACGAGGTTGACAAGGCTAAGACAAAACTGGGATCTTCTTCTTTTCTCCCCCTGAAGAATGCCAGTTGGAGGTGCTCTTCGCGTTCCCTGTGATAGTACGTGCGTGTAACTTGGTGCTTGCTGTTACCATGTTCCCTTCTTAGCACCTGGCCAGTGCAAATGTCCTGCCGAGAAACCTCTCAGGTCCTTTTAGGATCTGGTGACAGCTCCACTGCAGGGTGTTTCCTAATCAAGTTTTTCTGTGTTGTGTTTCAGAATGAACTGGACAAGGTGAAGGCTCAGCTCTCCATGAAAGGTGAGTTCCTTCACCTGCTGGGGATCAGCAGCCTGCGATCGCTGGGTCCTGGGCTCTTTCTGCGCTAGGTGCTTTGTCCAAGCTTGAGGAACCCCTATGAAGTCAAGGGCATGGTGCAGGCTGCAAACTGCTTTGCTGGAGCAGCTTCTTCAGAGATTTATCCAAAGCGAGACCGTCTAAAGCTGTACAAAGCTTGTATGACCGAGCCGGAGTCTGCAGCCTGGCCCAGCTTTGCTGTAACTGGGGAGCTCTCTGCAGAATTTAGAGGCAAAGATGCAATTTTTTTGCCCCTCTTCCTAATCACAAGCTACAACAGTGCAGCACAGCTATATCTGGAGCAGGCTTGCTGAAAGCAAAACCCTTGGTTTGCTCACTGGGAAACTCACAGCTGTGTATGGCAAAGGCTAGTTCCCTCTAACAGATGAGGGGGTAAAAGTGATGCCCAAAAGCAGCAGTGGGAGGGCTTTGGATTTGTTTGGCTGTTGCAGTGCCACATGTGTCGCGCGAAGAGCAGACGGAGTTCAGTGTGCGCGTTTCCATTTTCCCATCTTTAATTTTAGAGGATGTTTGAGGGAGGCAGGAAAAGCAAAAGCCCTGGAGACTTGTCGATGGGTTTTAAGCATCGTCTGTAGGCAGCCTGTCATCAGAACATGAGTCATGAGCAGCGAAAGGAAAAATGTCAGTCTGAGTGACAGAAATCCAAAGACACGCTAGCAGAAGGGAAGAGAAAAAAATCTAAAGAATGCTGGGGGCTCACCCACGCCCCGAGAGTCGTCTTTCCTCTGCCTTCCCTGCATGCACGAGACAGACATGAATAGCCAGTAGATTGAGGATTCGGTCCTTAGCCCAAGAGCAGAATTGGACGGTCTGCGTGTCTCTATTCTGAGGCCTGTTCTCTTGCCAGCTTGGTTGAGTTTAGTGACTTGGTAGAGAGCCAGATCTTCTGGGGAAGGTGGCTGGGATTCTTGCTAGGATGTTATCCAAGAAAAACTGCTTGAAGGCCTGCTCATCTTCTCGGCTTCTGGTGAGTAGAGGTTGGATTTGACGTTCCCTGTCCCATTCTCTGTTCATATTGGAGATGAGAAGCTCCTTCCCACCTCCTGCCTCCTTTGCTGTGGGCACTCTGCTCTCTGGTGGTTCTTGTGTATAAATTCTTCACTTAAAGATGTGCTCTGTGCTGTGCGCTGTAGAGGAGCTGTGTAATTGCCAGTCTCTGATCAGCTTGCAAATGGCTCTAGAGGTGCGGAGCTCCGAGCAGACCCAGCAGGCGCTGTGGGAGGCACTGTGAATGAGCTGAAAACTCATTCCTGCAGCACGGGGAGGTTTGACTCCTGCCATCTGCCTCTGGGCAACCGGGAACGGAGGAGGGGGAAGCCCGAACTTTTTTGGTGGATGTGGAGTCCCTGCAAATGCCAGGGGAGCATCTCCAGGCTGTGCTGCCTCTGAGGAAGGGTTATTCAGATCAATGGAGGAAAAATGCTTTACTCGGAAAGAAATCTGTGTTTCCCTAGCCACCTGCATGATTCTGCTGGGATAGGTTCCGCTCTTCTTCCCCAGTCCCACGTGGTTCTTTCACTGTCTGATCGAGCAGTGAAGCTGCACTGCAGGTCATGCTTCCGTGGGACGTGGTGGCAAATTTGCAACTGGATTGCTTGGAAGGAAAAACAGCTTTTTGGAAAGGCACTGGCTGTCTCTCTGCTATCGTCAGGCTGGAGCCACTGATGATTTTAGCAAAGACAGAAGATGCTGAGCTGAAGACTTTACCCTGCTCTCAGTGTGGTTAAACGGAGGGGTTGCTGCTTTCCCTCATTGCCCAGCTGATCCGAGCTTTCCGGTGATGCTGGCTGTTCCCTGCTTCGGTCTGTCAGCTCGTGACGGTGGTTGTTGCTTTGTGAACTGTTCTTCCCTTGTCTTGACAAAACAAATTGAAATCTGGTGTTGTTTTCCACCACCTTCTCTCTGGTGGTCAGAGGCACCTGCTTTGTTCCTGGATTGCTTGCCTGGGGAAGGGACAGCAGGACTCAAAGGTTTTGTGACCCACAAGAAGTGGGTGCTCTGGGGAATCTACTCAAGCTGTCGTGTGTCCTGCAAAGTCCCCAGTGCCCAGCAGAGCTCTGCTTTACTGCCTCTTGCCCTTCGACGTAGGTGCTGCGGTGAGGGTAGCTGCAGCAGCGTGGTGACGCAGCAGCGTGGTGGATCGCTGTACGCAGCTGCCCGATGGCCCCCGAAGGGCTTCCCTGCACGTAAGGCTCCGCGTGGAGAGGCTGAGCTCAGGGCTCGGCTCTCCAGCTCTGTGACAGCTCGGCATAACTCAAGAGAAATGTTTTCCTTGTGCAAGCCTGGCTTTGAGAGCATGCAAGGGTTAAGATGCATCAGCTTAATGCTAGCAGGGCTGGCACTGGAAAGCTATTAAAGGGAACTTGTTATCTTTAGTGAAGAAAATCTTGAAGCCTGCTGGCACTGGGAGAAGCAATTGCTCAGTACAGACCCTGGTGCAGCCAGCACTTAGGGAAATGGCTCTCTACAGGAACGGCCCCAAGCAGCCTGGAGCCTGAGAATGCAAGCGGTGTCTGTTGTGCTCCTGCTGCTGTGGGGCAGCTGAAGTCTGGGTTACTGGGGCATGACCTTTTTCTCTTTCTTTTCTTTTTTTTTTTTTCAGAGAAAGAAAAGCGGGAATGCCAAGCTGTTGTGGATGGGCTGAGGGACACTCTGGATGTGCGGAATGCCACAATAGAGTCGCTCCAGAAAGTGCTGGGAGAGACAGAGATGCTGTGCTCCTCTCTCAAGGTACCTTTCTCGGCTCTGGCAGAACTTCAGCACTAACCACTGCACAGTTGGTGGTAGTTTTGTTGAAGGTCTCTGCAGGCCCTGCTAGTAAAGAGGTTGTGCTGGTGGGAGTTTGGATCTTATGCCTCGAGACTCCTGTCTCCTTGATCTCTGAAAGACAGAAGAGCAGCGTAACTGGGTTTTCACGTTGGGTTTATTAACCCAAAGCAAGTGGCGTCCCTGGTCTGGAGGTCCTGAGCGCACTCCACCCTAGGGGTGATTCGGAGGCATAAAAGCCAGGGCCTGTGATTTGCATCCAAGTGGCTGCGTGCTCAAGGCAGAGGTGGCTGAGATGGGGGAGAGACGCCAGCCCAGCCTGGGGGATGCTGGCAGAGCCTTGCTAATGAAGTGGTAGCGCTGATCGTAAAGGTAGCAGCATGAACAGAGTGGGAACTGGCCCCAACGCCCCATTGCCGAAACACTGGCTCCCTGCGGTGGAATGTTCTTCTGAAATGGGTTTAGGCCAGGCGGGATTCAAGGAAAATTAGTTTCTTAGTTTGATTGGAGGAGAAATCAAACTGAAATATATGGAGGGGGAGTTGCGAGCTTCAGCTGAGTGGGATTTGATCCAGCTAACTCTCCTGTCTCTGTTCCGTTGCCAGGGCTTTCCTTCGGTTAGGTTAGTAATGTGTGAAGTCCAGGGATCAAATATTTCTGTTGTGTTTCAGCGTGCAGTGACTCAGTGTGTAGTCATGTACTGTGCGTAAACAGCAAGTGGAAGAGGGTGAGAGCAGGAACTGCTTTGTTGGGCTGTCTTGTAGACAGCAGCGCGGCTCTTCCTTGGCGGTGGGCTGGGATGGGCAGTCTCCACCGTGTTAAGATGATGTGCCCGTCACAAGAAGAATGGGGTTCAGGCCAGTGGGGTTGTGAGCTGCAGGCTGAAAGGCAGCGTAGGAGTCAACTGCACTTCCCAAGACCTCTGTCCCTTGGACTATGGATCTGACCCAATAGACTAGACTGCATCGTGTTCCTTGACCTCCAAAGCCAAGTGGCCCAGGGAGAGCTTGTAGATGGGTTGCGGGGTCGTCTTGTGGTACCTGCAGCTGGGCTCCTCCTGAGAGGAACCCATCCAGGAGGTCTGCCTGACACTGTCACTGGGGTGCTGTCACAGGGCAGAAGGAATTAACAGTAAGGAATTAATGCCAGACAGGCCTTGCTGTGAGGCAGCACAACTTTTTTTGGCTGACCATGGGATTATATCCAATCTGCGTGGGTGTAAAGGTAGCCTGGGCCTGTGCCATGCCGGAGATGCTCCTGGGATCCCGGGTGTACCTGTGGCAGGATGCTTCTGATGCTCTCTACTCCTGCAGAAACAATTATGACAGTGGAAGCTGGTGCTTGCTGCTCAAGTCAACATCTCTGCGCTTGGCTTTCCTGCCTTGGCACCTCAGAAGGAGGGTCTGTGGTTATCTTGCCTGTTGCAAAACCCTCTGTGTGTGCTTAAGTCCTTTTAATGAAAGCTGGGCAGGGCAGACGGATTAGGGACCTGGAGGTATCTTTTCTGTGGTGTACAGGGTTTCCGAGCTGAATGCCAAGCACTGTCTTATACTGCATCATTAAAGATTAAAGCACTAAACTTCTGCAGTGAAAAATACAGGCTTAACTAGCTGTGACGCAGGTCAAGCCCACAGGCTGCGAGCCGTTCTTGTCTTCTGCTAGCACTGTCAGCGGCTGGCGGACCCTTGTTGTGGGGGTTTTTTTGAGGCTAGGGACTCTGCTCCAGCCTGGCACAAAACACCGCTTTGGGGATCTGAGGTGTGGAGAGCTCTAGTTAGAAAAAGCCAAAGATGGGCTGTGCTTAAGCAAGAGCAACACATGAACCTGCAACGCTGTCCCTCTGCAAAGTCCCAGCAGTTTCACAGCTGTTTGGTTTCTGTGGTAGGAAGCGGATAAAATCCCTTCACTTCTGCATGGAAGGGAGCTTTATGAGGTGATGGTCTCTGGCTGGGCCTCTCCCTGGAGTCAACACTGTGCTGAAACCGGACCCAGAGCCTTTCGGAGGCGCTGCGTGAGGTGCGGAGGCACGCACAAACCGAGACAACACAGATGCATTGGAACGGTGCTAATTCAGGCCAGCTTTCCCCGGTCCTCTGCCACACTGCAGATCTGTGCTTTTTCAGCTCAGCTGAGGTTCTTCGTTACTGCTGCCTGCTGCTGGAGAGCCTGGAAAGGTGATGGCTGCAATAGGCTTGCAGCCGCTCCACGCAGGTGAGAGAAGTGCCCGGGTGGGTGTTTGGTTTGGCTGAGATGTCCCAGAAGAAACCCACTCAGCATTCCTATTTATGCTTTAAGCAGCTAATGGCAAGGAGAATCGGGAGGCTAAAGCAAAAGGGATCAGCTGTGCGTGGAGGAGAAAGCACTAGCAAGGTTTTCTCGCCATGGACTCCCTTGCTTTTGAAAAACAAACTGTCGCTGTGGACCGGGTACTGCACAGCCCCAGCAGAGAGGAGGCTTCGGTGCAGTTTCAGCGCCAGGCTCGTCTTGCGATTAGCACTGAGACCCTGCTGCGTTTGCAAGGAGCAGAGCTAGGGGTGCAGCGGGGAGGGAGCTCAACTCTCCGTAATCCTGGGCTGCTGAGGTGGTGATAGCATTAAGAGCCAATGTACGCTCCCAGCTGCCCGCAGTGCGCATAAGCCAGGATGTTTCTCTAACAATCCCTGGAGCCTTCCTAACGGTCTGTATGCGCTTGCTTCTCTGCAGAAGCAGATGAAATTCCTGGAGCAGCAGCAGGAGGATAACAGAAGTTCAAAGGAAGAGGCCCGCCGTCTGCGAAACAAGCTGAGAACCATGGAGCGGTGAGATACCGGGCATTGCAGGCTGGGCTGCACGCCTCTCCCCTTCTCAGGGAGGGAGGGGTCCTGCTGCAACATCCCCCTCCACGTGCTGGATCATCTTACCCCATAAGGTTGGAAACCGCTGCCTGCCCTTGCACGTCCAGAGCCCCAGCCCAGGAACAGAGTTGGCCACAGGGCTATCCGACCCAAAACCTGGGACGTTGGCCCCACGTGCAGTGTGTGTGTACAGCTGCCCCTTCTCTAGTCTGTCCACCTAGTGCTCCTCTTCCCTAGCAAAAAGCCCTGCTGGTGGTGGGGCAGTTGTCTCTGCTACCCCCTGCACAACATCCAGAGTGCCTGCAGTCGGAGCTTAGGCTGCACCAGCTCCTTGGAGGGAAGCAGGGCTCCAGGCTCTTTCCCAAGCTCTGTTTGTGACTCGTGAGCTGAGGGTACATTTTTTTTCTCTTTTCCTTTTCAGGATTGAGCTGTTGCTTCAGAGCCAGCGCCCTGAAGTGGAGGAGATGATCAGAGAGATGGGAGTTGGGCAGGCAGCGGTGGAACAGCTTGCGATCTACTGTGTCTCACTGAAAAAGTAGGTGCCACAGGCTTGGCGCAGCCGGCTCGTGCTGTCCTGGGTGTGCCCAGGGAGAACCCTCTGCCGAGAACCGGCATGCACACAGGCTCTGCGGGGCTCTCGCTGCCTGTTTGGGCCTCCGCTGGGTTTTGACTGACAGATCCTGGGGACCTAGATTGGAGCCTGTCACACTGAACTGTTCCTGTTGTCACTGTAGTGACATGCGTGTCACCATGGGAACTGTCTCCAGAGTTGTCAGTGCACCTATGAGGTGATGATTATTATTCCTTCCGTTCTCCTCTCACGCCTGGGGGGAAATGAGTGGATGAGGGGCTTCAGGTTGTACCCTCTGCTGCATTGCACCGTGCAGCTGTGGGTTCGAGCGCTCTCTGGGCAAGGCGAATCTGCAGCGCTGCCCTCCCCTACCTGGAAATCCATCTGGTCCTGCTGGGCAAAACCACGGCTTCTTTGGGTCCCTTCTGATGGCAGCTGAATAATTGCAGCTTTGATACAAAGCTGTAATGAGGCAAGTGTCCCTGTGGTGTAATTGGGAATGAATGTGCATGGCCAATAATGTGAAGTCTCTGAAAAGTCACTTAAAGCAAAGTCCCCTATTTGCTGCCAGCATGGAGGCTGCTCTGTTGTCTGTCTTTTCCACTGGCAACTGAAATGTCTCTGGATCTGGTTTCCATTTTGCTGTTCAGACCCCGTTCTCATGGTATCCCATGCAGCTTTTCTCCTTTGTGGTAGTAGTGGGATGTGCCCATGGTGTAGTGGTATGTTTGACACACTCTTGGTCAGCGTTGGTACACTCAGCTCTGTTCCCTAAAGGGCTTTGTCTCCTGCGTTTTCTCTGTTGGCTCTGCAGTTCCAGGGCTTCAAATTAAGGGTTGTGGGTTGTCTCCGAGAAGTTCTAGCTCAATCCTATTGTAAACACAACATAACTCTTCGGGTCTTGTTGCAGGGAATATGAAAACTTGAAGGAGGCTCGGAAGATCTCTGGTGAGATGACAGAGAAGCTGAAGAAGGAGCTGTTTTCTGTCAACTGCAAGGTAAAGGGAGAGCGTGAGTCGCTGGGGTGACGTCTGGTCTGTAGATTCCTGTCAATAACTGTGGCCCAAACCCTCTGCAGTGACCCCCTCCCATACCGAGCACTACTTGGGTGGTACAGGTGGTATGGAAGTGTCAGGCTGGGGTTTCTGGGTCAGGGTGTGATGCTGCGGTGAATGAGAGGCTCATGGACTGTTGTCAGGAGTGCAGTCTCTGGGGACGCTGGTGGGGCAGCATATGCAGAGCCAAGAGTTTGGCAGGGAGCCTGGACTGGAAGGCAGCAGCACGCAGGTGCTCTCCTGCTTCCACTGGGCTCTGGAATCAGCGCTACCTTCATCCTGCCACACTGCCGAGAGTGAGCTAGCTCCAGCTGCAGAATCGGGCCCCTAGGAAAAGCGGGAAGGGGTTTGGAACCACCACCAGTTGAGTAGGGCTTAGCCCTGGCTTGGCGCAACCACTGTCACACCCAGCCTTGTGCCTTCAGCTGACTGAACCGGGCCAGGGCTCCTGCGTGATGCTGGGCCCAGGCAGGAGAGGTCCCTGAGGTGTGGTGAGGATGTGCAGGTGGCTCTGCACAGACCTGGTCCTGACCTGGAGCAGAACTTGGAGCCTTGGAGCTGCTGACATGCCTCTGTTGCTAGCCTTGACCTACTCCAGGTCTGGCTGGGCTCTGTTAGCTCAGGTTGGGAATTGCTTTTTGTCAGTTTTGGTAGCAAGTCCCCATGAAAAGAGTGTGTGTGTGTAGCCTTGCTCTCCAAAGCGCAGGTGTTCCCTGGGGCATGCCCGTGTCCAAGCTGACAAAGTGAGAGACTGTGGGTGGACTTGGCCTATTTTTGTTACCTGGCCGTAGCTGTTGTGGTCTCCCTCGAATGGAGAAGGAGGTTCTCAGATTGCTGTGCTGTTCCCCAAATGAGTTAACCCCCTATATGAGTTGCTGCCTGAGTCAGTGCCAAACTGCAAACGCCGTCTCAGGTCAGGAGGATGCGAGTCAGTGCACTCGGAGCTCCGGGCTTGGCTGACGGAGAGCTGACTGTACCGACACTTTGCGGGCTGGCTCAGACTCCTGAACCCACAAAAGTCTCTGATGTGGTAGCACTCCACTTCTCGACCCCTGCTCCTGGCATGCCTCCCTGTTGAATCAGGCTTGTCCGTGTGCCAGTGCTGCTGATGCACAACCATCCCCTAGCCTGTGGTTTGTAACGCCTGTGCTCTGGTGTCCTGCTGGAATTCGGAATGCGGCCACCGAGCGTTAGAGCAGGGAAAAGCCGTCACCATCAGGCATAAATCCTCGGGAAGTGCTATAGGAAGGTTTGTGTTGGGCAAGCGGCCCTGGAGATCCCTCTGCAGGCAGCTTGAGGAAATGGGCAGGCATTCCGTTGCTCTGATACAGGAGAGATTGGTCAGAGGCTGCCACAGGAAAACCGAGCTCTGAAACAGGGGGAAGTAGAATGTGCCGCAGAGCATACTGCTTTCCTGGGGGATCCGCAGTCTCCCTTACCTACATGTTGTAACCAGCACTCTGCTGTTTGCGGGGGGCTTTATTTTGCAGCTGCAGAAAACGGTTTCGGAGTTGGAGAAGACAAACGAGGAGTTAAAAAGCACCCAGAAGGATCTGAAGAATGCGGACAAGGAGATATTGGTGAGAATACCGTCCCTCAGTCTGCAGTAACTGGCAGCTGGCCATGGCCTGCAGCTGCAAAGCCAGGAGTTCTGCTGGCTCTTGCTCAGTGACTAGGTTACCGAGTCCACTTTACCTCTCTTATCTGCCCCACCTCTGAGCTCCAGCTGATGCTGATTTACGGAAAAGGGGCAAAGTATCTACTACTAAGTCTTTCCTTTAACTTGTGGTCTGCTTTCCCTCCTCCCTCCAGAGTTTGAAGAAGAAGATAGACATCCTGCAGGATACTCTGAAGGTCCCATCTGTAACCAGAGAGACACTCAGTCGACTAGTCTTTGAGAGGTTAGTGAAGTGCATCCTCAGATACTAGGCCAAGGATGGAGATAGCAGGTCCAAAGTAAGAGCTGACAGTTTAACCAGCTGGGGAGGCAGAGACGTGCTGGTCTGGCAGTCATTGCAGTACCACAGTTGTCTTGTTGCTTGTATATTCCTTTGGGTGTTTTTTTTTCTTCTTGCTGACAAGATGGTGTTTGGTTTACCTGGAAAAAGTGTGCGTTGCAGGGTGTGGGTCAGGAAGGGGTGGAAAAATGGGCTAGGTTTTGACAAACGCTTTGTCACTGTGTCCTGCCAGAGAAATGCCCCTAAAGCTGCTCTTCTGATTACCTCAGGGTTCGCCTTCTAGTAAGCATGCCCTGGCACACGGGGACCGGAGATCTTTGCCAGGTAGAGGAACCTAGCCTGAAAAATGGCATTTTTCACATTGTTATCAAACCCTTTCTTCTGAGGAGCAGATGCTGTTACCCCAGTGCAGCAAGCTGGGCTGCGTACTCAGGGCAGCGTCTTTCCCTGGGCTCGGAGTGCTGCTGCGACAGCACAGGCCATTCAGAGGTGAACAGTAGTTTAGGACATTGACTATAAACTCTGGGATTCGGATTGTCCTTTCTGTGACTTGTAAGCAGAATGGGGTGCTGATCCTGGTCCCACTGCTGTCTTGCAACTCAATCACTTAGCGTGCAGCTCTGTCTTCCTCTCGTCTGCTGGGTGGCAGGCGGTGGCCTCTTGATGGCTGACACTTTGCGTGGCCTTGCAGCCCTGCTCCCGTGGAACTGCGGCACCCAAAGCTCCACCGCCCAGCCCACAGCGATGAGATCAATCTAGATGCCACTTTTGATGTGGACACCCCTGAGCATCAGCCCTGCAGATCTCTCTTCAACCCCGCAAAAAGGCAGAAGCTGGATAAAAAGCCGTGAGTTTTCCCTCCTCTCTCTGCTTCTGAAGGAGATCAAAGTCTCGCTTCTTTGAAAGTTGCTGTGTGAAATCAGATAGCTCTCCAGCTGCCTGATGTCGTGCTGCAAGTTTCGTCATCGTTTGCTTGGCCTTGTCTGTCCTTGCCAGCTCCACTTGAACAATAAATCTCTGCTGATTTGCTCCTTGTGCTTCTTACAGGCCTCCTGTGGTAAACCTGGCAAAGAAAGTTCTGAAAGAAACGGTGGAGGTAAGAGGACTAATCTTGATTTCTGTATCACCTCTTTGATTCTGCTGTTAATAAGCTTGGGATAAAGGACCCATTTTCCCCATGTGGGAGACGCTGTGACCATAGACCGGCCCATCTATGGAACCACAGTACATCCTTCAAAGTGCTTTGCTTGACAGTCTCCTAGAAACACTCTATTGCTGCCTCAGGCCGCCTGGAATTGGGCAGGAGAGGGAGGATGGGGACCCACGTGCTTCTCGCTGATTATCCTGCCTCAGATCTGCTTGGCAAACGCAACGTGGGGCTGACCGCAAGGGCTGAGGGGTCAGCAAAGGGGGGCTGTTCTCCCGGGCTTGCTGAGCGCAATGTCCTGCCTCCCAGGCGCTGCTCCACGTGAGCACCAGTGGGAGGTCTGAAGCTGCTGTTCTTTGGCCTGACATGTGGTACGGCAGTAACTATTACCCTAAATAGCTGTCGGCGTTATTAGCGCTCCCTGTATGTGGACTGAATTCAGCAGATCATGCTGGCTAAAGGGCTTTTCTCATTATTTTGTGGGACAGAACTGGGCAGATGATCTGGAGGATGATGCTCTCAAAGGACTCATGCCAGCATTCATCAGGAATTCTGTTCTCTCCAAGAAGCCATCTTCGGGTAGCTTGTTGGGTCCCCGCAAGAACATGGGCACTGTAAGTACGACTGTCCAGTTGGTGAGCTTGTCGAGGGTTGGCACCGCACACCTCTGTCCTAAAGTGACCCTACAGGAGGAAGCAAACGAGGCTTTTACCTTCCCACATACAGCGTGTGGAAAATAAATCTTGGAGCATGAACCTGGCTACTTCCCAGCCCTGCAGAGCTCCAGGGATGACAGATGCTCATTCCCTTCCTGGCAGCAGATTAAATGGCCGTCCATGTCCTGTTCCTTCACCTCCTTGGAGCTTGAGGTGTTTTCCTCGTATCCCTCAGTCCCAGTGACAAAATTCTAAGCCTTCCTGCCGCTTGGAAGGCTCGGCTCGCTCTAGAAAGGGCCCAAGATACGCAAACTTTGCTGATTCCCTTGGGTCTGTCTTTTTCCAAAGGTGAGGGCTTAACACAAGTACTGAGTGTTTCCAGGTGCTTGTAACCCCTCCCCAGAACCTGTGGCCTGCGAGGCTCCTCCTTCCCCGTAACCAACAGGAGGAGAGGTAGCCCAGGCTCATTTCTTTCTCTCTCCTAGGTGAGGATGGGGTACGATGGCTTGGGCGGCAGAACAAAGTTCATACAGCCTGTATCCTTTCCTGCAGCTCGCGTGGCAGTAGCGATGCTGTGGAAACCTCATGTCTGTTCCTCCTCTTCGGTTTCAGCCATGTTGGGGAGTCTTGGCCCCCAGTCAAGGAAAAAAAGGGGGCTAGGACCCTTAAGGAACCACCAGTTTTCTCTCTTACCTGACTCTGAACAAGTCTGAGCTCAGTAAAGGCATCAAGGACCTGAACTTGCTGACAGCACTATCAGAGGTGGGTCATTCAGAGAAGCATTACCAACTAGAAATGGGTACGATTTGCCGATGCCCTTGGGATCTCTGGGCAGCAGCGTAGCACAGCCTCTTCCCAGCCATGATCCTGCCAGCTTGTGCAGCCGAAGCCTTCATTCCTGTGGGATGCTGCTGCTCGGCCCTGCCTGCCCTGCGGCGGGTGAGGAGCGGGTGGGCTGAGCTCACCCGGGGGCTGGGGAGCTGCTCTGACTCCCACTCCTCACGCAGCAGCAGTGTCCCCTCCCCTGTGGAGGCTGCCCCTCTCCTTCCTGCCCCAGGCAGCACTGTCAAAGCGGTGTGTGGTGCACCTATGGCTCTGACACCGCTCTAGCGGTTTTTGGTCTTTGTAGAAAACCGGAAGGCTGAAGCAGAGAAGGGATCAGCTGGAAGGTGTGACCTGCTGGGAAGCCTTGGGCTGCTGCTCCTGTGGCCTCACAGGAGGGGTGGAGGTACCCAGTGGTAGGGAGATCATAGAATGGTTTAGGTTGGAAGGGACCTTGAAGATCATCGAGTTCCAACCCCCCTGCCATAGGCAGGGACACCTCCCACCAGCCCAGGTTGCCCAAGGACATGTCCAGCCTGGCCTTGAACACCTCCAGGGATGGGGCCTCAACAACTTCTCTGGGCAACCTGTTCCAGTGCCTTACAACTCTCAAAGTGAAAAACTTCTTCCTACTGTTTAATCTAAACCTGCCTAAAGATGCTTCAGCCAGGCCCCTGGGGCCAGATGTGCCTATGTTGCTAGTCTGAGCCGAATGGAGAAGGTGGGCAGCCATGGCAGTGCTGCCCCTCGCACATGGCTGGTGGAGGAGCGGCTCATTTGCCATAGCCCGAGTGCTGCAGGCATGCTGGTTTGTGTAACCCTGCACTTCTGCGAGCAGATCTGAGCTAATTCCGTGTCTCCGAAGATTTGTGTGATGCCATGTGAGTTAGAGGACTGGCTGCTCCAAGGGCTCTTGTCTTGGGGTCACTCTGCCGTGGGAGGCTGCAGGCTGTGCAGTGTCCCACCTCTGATGTGCAGGGTAGGTCTTGAAGCTCTGAGAGATGTGCTTAAATGCTGGTTTGTGTGCAAGGGGGTAGTGTAGAAGTGGGAAGCATCCCTTGATTCCTGGGACAGGAGCCTGCCTGAGCTCTGCTGCTGTGAGTAGAGGGCAAAGCCCGCACAAGTTTTCGGGTGCAAATGTGTGGCTCGGTCCCAGCTCTGTGGTTCAGTCTGGTCTGCAGCAGGTACTGGATCGCTTGTGTCCCCACGGCACTGGTCTGCACTTCCCTTAACGGTTTTACCTTCAGACAAACCTGGCAGAAATCCGCCCGTTAGCAGTGAGGAGCAAGAAGAAGAACGTCTCCAAGCCAGCGTCTGCAGCTCCCTCCACGTCTTCTTCCAGCAGCAGCCAAGCCAGGCTGGACACTTTCCTGCAGTGAGAGCCCCTGGTTCCCGGGGAGCCTCTGGGCAGGGCGGCCGCAGCACGGAGCGCACTCGCCCGGAGCCTGGCACGAAGCAATGCGCAACCAGCGCTGCGCGGGGGGCTATCTGCAAAGCACCCATGCCGCGTTGTGGGCGAGATGAACCATCCCTGGGGAGAATCCTGGCTTTGCAGCCAGCCCGCAGGAGACCAAGCCTCTGGCTAATGCTTGGACTGATTTACCCCCTTCATTTTCCCCTTCCTTCCTCCTATTTTTGTGCAGAATAAACAGGGTTTTCTTATCTTCTGGCCTGCTCAGAGCTCTGCTGTTGGGCGCTCTGACATCAGGTGGAACTGCACTTTTTGGATGCAGCTGTGAGCTAGAAGTGCAGGAACGGTTTCTGGGATGTCAGTCTGGAGCAAGAGCCAGGAGAAGTCACCTGGACCAGCTCAGTGCCTGGTGTAAATAGTTCCAAGAAAATTTCCTGGAGGAAGAAGGGTGCGCGGGGCAGAGCTGTGCTGGTCTGTGGTGCTGCAGGGTGGCCATATGTTCACTCTCAAATTGATCACCTTCTCTCTGCTGCAGGGCTGTGTGGGTTGGGGAAGACCCACAGGTGGGCCTGGGGGATGTCCTGCCTGGCCCTGGTTTGGGCCATGAAGTCCACTGTGTTTGCAGACTTGGCGCTGACATTGCTGACCTGGGGAGGAGGGTGTTGGGGGTGACCCCCCCGTCCTGCTCAGAAACAGGGTCATAGAATGGGTTAGGTCGGAAGGGACCTTGGAGATCATCTCATTCCCCCCCCCTGCCCTGGGCAGGGACACCTCCCACCAGCCCAGGTTGCTCCAAGCCCCGTCCAACCTGGCCTTGAACGCCTCCAGGGAGGGGGCAGCCACAGCTTCTCGGGGCAACCTGTGCCAGGGGCTCACTGCCCTCAGAGTGAAAAATTTCTTCCTAATGTTTAATCTAAACCTGCCCTCTTCCAGTTTAAAGCCATTCCCCCTCGTCCTATCACTACGTGCCCTTGTGAAAAGTCCTTCCCCAGCTCTCCTGTAGCCCCTTTAGGGACTGGTGATGGGTGTGCAGATGTGACCTCTGTTCTTGGCACATGTTGGCATGAAACTTGTTTGTATGATTATTATTTTTTTTAAAAATGAGATTGTAGGGTGTTGTATTCTTTTGAAACCGGTCTGCCTTGTGATGTGAAGGTTTGGAAGGGCCTGAAGAAGTGCTGGAGAAGGGCTCCCTTCAGGGGATGGGGTGGGGACTGAACCTGGGCTGGCTGAAAACATGTCTTTAGGGAATAAAATATCCTGCTGTGCACAGTTGTTAACCTAACCAGCTCCTGAGCGGTTTCCTCCCTGTTGCAGCTCAGGTGTTGCGTGTTGGGGGTGATGGACACACCTGACCCTCAGGAAAGCGTTGGTGCCAGCTCCCAGGAGATGAGTCCCTCCTGCGGGGAAGGGCTATGGTGGGGTGAAGCCGTGATGGAAGCCGTGCCGATGCCCAGGGCCGGGAGCAAGGCCAGTGCCCTGCGGAACGTGGGCCCCGTGTTGCCCGCATCCCTTGGGGCTGACCGCTGCACAAGGTGGAACGGGTGGAGAGTCTGGAGGAGCACGAGAAGAGACTTGAGAGGGCTGGAAAACAAGCTGGGGGAGGGGGGGGAAGGGCTTAATCAAGCAAGAGTTAATTCTGGGGAAGAGGAGCCTGGGAGAGGCTCCGCCGGGAGCCTTTTACCCACCGCAGCTCT